GAGGAGGGGGAGGAAGAGGAGGGGGAGAAGAAGGGGAGAAGGAAGAATAGGAGGAGGAGGAGGAGGAGAAAAAGGAGGAGGAGAGGAGGAAGAAGAAGAGGAGGAGAAAAAAGAGGAGGAGGGGAAGCAGATATAACGGAGAGGCAGGATGTTACTCGTGTGGACACCTCAGGGTCTTTCAATGTGCTTATTCTTAGGCACTGAGCCCTGTCATGTTCTGCATGCCTTTGGTCCTTGTTTGGGGCTCAGCATAGGTGACACCACTTGCCAATGGCCCTGTCCATTCTGGACCACCCTAGAGCAACACTGGGTACTTTGGTCCTGTCGAATAAGATGTCCCCTTCCCTAGGCCTTTATAGAGACAGGCTGTTGGGCTCACCCCACCTTCTGCTGCCCTGGTGGACAGGACTTGGACAAGGTCACTTTCAGCCTGCCTTTGGCCTGTTGGGGCCTTTTCAGCCCTGCAACCACAAGATCCAGTTCCCCCAGTAACCCCTTCCCATAGAGCTGTGTGCACATCCTTTTGGTTCAGCCTCTCTGGAGAAGCCTGACTGATACAGTGTGGCAGAGAGGTGGAGCTGGGGCACTGGGGTGGCAGGAGAGATAAGAGAGACTCTGGCCCCTTTAAGGAACTCACACATCAGGCTGAGCAAGACATGGCTACAACCCAAGGACACAAAGAAGGAGGTTGGAAGGAGATGCCTCCAAAGTCAAGGCCAGGATACACACTGGGGACCAAGAGTCTTGGAGGTACCAGGCATCCTCTCTACCTCCCTGTCAGCTGCCCTCTTGTCCCCATTCATTCCAGGTACACTGATAGTGTCTGCTCTAATCATTGCCTTAGCTCTGGGTGCCACTGTTTCACAATGGACAAAAGGGACAAAGTTCAAGTCCTTCCTTTAACCAGGAGACAAAGAATAAGTAAATAAATGACCCTGCTTCTCTCGGAGGAAGGTCAGAGCTATGAGGACAGTACATGGTGGGAAGCGTGGAGATCGTGGTGCTTACCGTACGGGTATTCCCAAATGAGCCTCCACCTCACTCCGCTCACCACTCCACACAAGAGGAACAGATATTGTGCCTTGGCTTCCTATTCTGTGTTTGTGCTCTGTGCATCTGTCATGGAGGTCCGGAGTTTTGTGGTTGAGTCCCTCTGCAAATCTTGGATGACCGACTTTGAATTCCTTAAGGCCATGGCTAGATTCTCGGTTTTCATGCCTTCCCTGCGCCTGTAGCGACTCCTGGTGGGGAGAAGCTTTCCTGCATCCAGATGGTCCAGAGATGCTTTATTTACATAACCGCCTTTTCATCTTGTCCCTACGCCGCTACCACCACCACCACGCCCCCCTCCCCCTCTCCCCCTTCCCTCCTAGCCGGTTTCACCCCACGGGAAGAATCCCTTCCCCCTTTGGTCCATGAAGAGCCTAAAAGAAAAGTTCTCACTCTCCAATGATGGGACTGATAGTTTAAGCCACTTTGGAAAAAGTTCTCTACAGCCTCTTAGCACGTTTAAGGTCTCAGAAAAGGTGAATTCCACACGAACCCTGCCCTTATGTCTGGTGCCCTACCTATGCTGGTGTTCCTACAAAGCCTATATGGTTTCCCTAGGAATGTATGTGCTGTGTTTAGCCAGTGTGGTCTTTGAACCATGGCTTGGACTTAGTTGGCATTCAACCTCAGATGTTAGTTGGCCGTGTTCTTGTGCTAGGAACCACATATTTTCTGTGTTCTTGGCCTGCCCATGGTATTGGTTTCTTAGCAAGCATATGACTTTATTTGCTTTTCTGTTTTGATAGAGTACCTAGCTATGGCATAGCTTGCCCACTGGGTCAGGTCTGACTGCTAGTCATTAGACAGACATCTGAATATTCCTAGCACATTGCTACTGCTGAGAATCCAGGCAAGCCAAGCAGGACTCAGGGAGCATCTCTGGTCATGCCTACAGGTAGTGAGGCAGGCTAGTAGGATACTACCACAGCTGCTATTACACAGGACTGCCTGGTTTGCTTCCAGGTCAGGATCCAACAAGAAGTAAGAAGGTTGTTGCAAATTTGTGGATGGAGGTGAGTCCTGTGGGAACCGTCAGCGCACAAAGCAGATTTCTGGTTTTATTGCATTTATGTCCAAATGAACTGCTGAGAGCAATGGGTAAAGGCCAGTGCATTTGACTCAAGGGTTTTTCTTTTGGCGGGGGGTGGTACATAGTGCACCCGATAAGCTGGGCTGGCTGACCAGCAAGCCCCAGGAATCCTCCTGCCTCTGCCTTTCTGGTACTGGGATGACAAGTGCACACCATCTTGCCTGGGTTTTCTTCTGTGGAATGAAGCTCAGGTCCTCGTGCATACAGCTCAAGCACTCTTTTCTTTTTCTTTCTTTCTTCCTTCCTTTCTTTCTTTCTTTCTTTCTTTCTTCCTTTCTTTCTATCTTTCTTTGGGTTTTTTGAGTCAGGGTTTCTCTGTGTAGCCCTGGCTGTCCTGGAACTCACTCTGTAGACCAGGCTGGCCTTGAACTCAGAAATCTGCCTGCCTCTGCCTCCCAAATGCTGGGATTAAAGGCATGTGCCACCACTGCCCGGCACCAGACTCAGATTTCTAAAGCCCCTTGACTGTGTGCACAAATGGACAGCAAGGAAGCAGCAAGAGGCCACCCGGGGCTGCTGAGCTGCTGGAGTGACAGCTGCCTGGTGAGGGAAGACGCTGATGCAGATGGGATGGGGTGCACCAGGAGGCACTCCATGACAACCTGGATGCCGTCTCTTTCTCTGTGAACATCAGGCCACTAAACCACAGAACTCTAGAAGGTTCTGCTGTAAACAAGTTCAGAAAGTTAGTCATTAGTCAGGTAAAAACCCAAAGTAGGACTCCATTTTTTCTTTTCTTTCTTTCTTTCTTTCTTTCTTTCTTTCTTTCTTTCTCTTTTTCTTTTTTCTTTTTTTTTTGACTCACTCTTATCTGACCTATACTCACACCCTGCCAGGCATCCTGAGTCCCTCTTTTATCTTGTTCATTTTGAACGAAAAAAAAAAAAAGACATCTTTAGGAATTGGCCCTATGCCTTCCCATGAGGTCCCTTCTGAAGGTTATATAGCCAAGCTAGTTACAAACTTCAAATTCCAGGCCATTATTAGTGGTTTTCTACTGTTTGGTTTTAACCCCCACCCCTTGTGTATGTGTGCTCAAATGCATGTGTGTGCATATGTACACAGGCTCACACATGTGGAGCCTGTGTACAATACGCCTGGGTGGAAGCCAGAGTTTGTTCCTCATTCACCTCTTCACTTTTTTTTTTTTTTTGAAACAAGGTTTCTTACTGGGCCCTTGAGCTGTTTCAGCAGGAGTGTAGCTAGAGACCCCCCTGGGATCCACTTGTCTCTGCCCCTCTGTGCTGGGTTACAGATGCATGCTACATGCCCAGATTTTATGCCCAGCTGGAGAGGTAAACTGAGGTCACCATCTTGAATAGCAAGCACATCACCCACTGTTATTCCCTAGCTCTTTTGTGCCTCCAACGTCTCAAGAACAACCATTTTAATGGCTTACAGCCATGCATGGTGGTTTACACATGGTCTCCAGCTGTTGCTACACTGTAAGGGCAGGTGAATAGTCATGGGACCATATGCCTACGATTTTAAAACCTTGGCCAACTGGCCTTTTTAGGAGTACTGACTACCCACTATCAGTCAGCAAGTTCACATTAGACACTAGGAACAGTTTCAAGACTGACCCCTCAGAGTTCTGGCATGGGAAATAGTCACAGACTGCTCGCTGGTCCCTTAGTGGCCAGCATTTCATACATGTAAATCCAGTCAGGGTTGCCAGAGGCTGATATCAGCTGAGAAACATCCTATATCCTGATAATCTTAGCAGGCGTACTTTTGCAAACTAAATAGACTAATCCAAAGGTGACTGGTGGGACGCCCATCCCAAACTTTGCCAGTCCTATTTGCTTATATGAAGAGGGGATGCTCCAGACCCAAGCAGCAGAGATGCCATGTATTTAGTCTTATTTTTTATTTTATGTGCATGAGTGTTGTTGTTTTCATCGTGTGCACATCTGGTGCCCTCAGTACTGGAATTACAGGTAATTGTGAGCCTCCACAGTGTTGCTGGAAATTGAACTGGTGTCCTCTGAAGAGTAGTCAGTGTTCTTAACACTGAAAAGCCAAAGAAGGGATTATATTACCATATTTATTTATTTACTGAGGGTTGCAACCCTGGCTGTCCTGGAACTCACTATGTAGACCAGGCTGACCTCAAACTAAGAGATTTGCCTCCTGAATACTGGGATTAAAGGTGTGTAGCACCATACCTAGTTAAGTCATTTATTTACTGATATATGGTCTTGTTAACTACCCAAGCTGTCCTGGAATTTACTCTATAGCCCAGGCTATCCTGCTACTTGTGATCTTCCTGCCTCTGACTCCTCAGTGCTGGGATTGCAAATGTGTGCTACCACAACTGGCTGCATTACCGATTTTACCCTGACAGACAGCAATAGACTCAACTGAATACTTACTTGGGGCTACTACCTGGGAGAACCAACTTAGGGATTAGTAGTATGTTGGTAAGGGACCTTCAAGCATTCTGTGTGCCCAAAAGTCAAAGAATAAAACCCTCCCACTGCTCCACGAGTCTTGGGAAGAACTGCTGAGCTGTTAAAAACAGCATCGAGGCTGGCTCTTCACCCAAACCTTCTGAAGAAGGAAGCTGCCTTTTCTTACTCCACTAAGTGAAACCATGAGTGACAGGCTCATTTCCAAACAAGCTATGGTAAATAATCTCCAGAAGAGAATCTCCTCCAAGGAAATTTAGCATTTTAATTAATGTGTTATAAATAGAACACTGACAGCCATACATTAATATGCTTGTTTTGATAAACTAAGCCTTAAAGTCATACTGTCAAATACAACTTCAGAACCCCCTGCAATAAAACGCTCAGTTTGCTATCTTGAGAGACTGTCTTATTTCCTTTGGTTTACAATCCATGCTATGGAAAACTGAATATAATACTAAATCTACCATCTATTCCAGATGCTCTATAGAAAACTGAACCACTGTTAGGTTTTAAGAATACAGCTTTAATTTCTTGGTCACTTTTGATCATATAAATATATAAATCTTAACAAGGTAACACTGTTCACTGTAATAAAGGCCATAAAAATAACAGCTCTGCCATATTGCACAGATAAATTAACTCAGTTGGCTTTCCCAGGCCCCCTACCAAAGAGCTTTCGAATCAGAACTGGAAGACATAGGGATCTACGCTATTGACATCGAATACTGACGAAGTCAAGTCGTTTACAGAAAATAAACTTTAACATTTCACATCCCGGCATCATATACGTCAATTAACAGGATTTCTTAACACTCGGGACAAGAGTCTCACTGGAGTCTTCCTACGGTAGAGATGAGAGCTCAGAGTTGCGGTCTGTCACCGCAGCCAGGGAAGTGGTCCTCTGTCCGAAACAGGACTGGCGGCTCGTACACCGCGCGCTGGGGCCCAGTGGGCGCCGACTTGAAGAGAGAGGGAACGCTGATGGTATGCAGCAGCCTCCGGAAGGCCCGGGGGAAGGTCCCCAGCTCGGCTTCGGCCTTGGTGACCTGCTCTTCCATCCTGGCCACGCTGCTACCGATCATCCTCACGAAGGCCTCTAGCTTGTCGATCCTGCCGTAGATGCGCCTCATCTCCGCGGCTTTGGCGTGGATCCGAGGCACGCCCTCGCTCACCACATGAGACGAGTCTCCGCGAATCATGTCCAGCATGCCCACGAACTCGTCCACCTTGGCCAGCAGGTCCTCCAGGCTGGCGTCCAGAGCCTCCACTTCGGGCCGCGGCCCCGTGGCAGGGAGCAAGCTGGAGGCGTAGCCCAAGGCGGCGCGGCGCAGCAGCGGCAGGTCGCGGCCCGGCGCGTCCTCGGGGCCGTCATCTTCCCACGGCCCGGATGCGCTGCTCTGGCTCTGCGATACGTGGCCGCTGTCCCCGCTCCACGCAGCGCCCAACGGCTCGGCGTCCTCAGTCGAGACCTCTCGAGACAGGGTTCTGACAGCAGGTCCTTCCTCCATGGCCCGCCTGGCCGCTTCCGGTGCTAAGAGATAGCGTCACGTTCTGAGATCTCTGCTTCCGGCGCCTCCTAAATACGTCACACCCCACCAACCAACTAATCCTACTATCCACAGGCCCAGAGAGCCCAAAGGCTTCTGTCTGCCTTGTCTGCGCGTTCATGCTGTGTGCTGGTAGAGTTTGCACATATTAATAATCCAAAAAGGATGACAGAGATTAGATAATAGATTGAAAGATGGGTAGATGACAGATAATAAATAGATGATAAATAGATTAGACTAGTAGTGGCGCATGCCTTTAGTCACAGCACCCAGGAGACAGAGGCAGACAAATCTCTTTAAGTTCAAGGCCAGCCTGATCAGTTTCAGGCCAGCCAGGGTCTCAAACAAGTAAACAAGCAGACAAATCAATAGGTGACTGATTTGATAGGTAGATCAATGGTAAATTGATAAGTGATAGTGTAAGAGAAATACACTAAAGCAGACTAAGGATGTCCATAGAGACCTTTATGCATACCTTCACAGCCAGGTAGCCTCTGTTTCTCCACCTGCCCTGTAGCCAGCCAAGGCTAAATCTCCGTAGATGGAAGGATATTCCAAAGCCCTGCCTAGGAATTGGGGAACTCCAGGTGTTTGCGCTCAAGAGTAGTACAAATTTCTACTCATTTTAATTATTAAAGGAAGCAAAATGTGAGGTGACATTTACAATTTGTTTAAGCAAATACAAGTACAGGAAATATACCTGGTGCTATCATCTTTGGTCTTGTGAAAAGAGCCAAGAATATTCCTCCTATTTGTCTTTCCCACAGAGATAACATGGACATGACTGGACATTCCTTTCATGTTCTTGCTTTCAAGTGTATTCACGTATCACAGTTTGTGCAACTCTTTCTTGAAGGCTACCTTGTGGGAAGAACATTCTACATGCTGCCCTAGCGACAGTTCACAGTAAGTTCACGGCTTTCTTAGACTGTTCCCCACATCTGTCCTCTGTGTAGTACCGACCAGCACCCATATGAGGCTCCTGCCTGCCTCAATTCCTTTACCAGTGATAGCAAAATAAACTGTAAGCAAAAGCAAGAACAGTGGAACACAAAAGTCATCCTAACAAGTGGTCATCTCAGCCTCCTTACAAAAGAAGTAATCCCTCCCAAGCATGGATCACAAGATGCTTGGAAAAAAACAAAGATAGGAATAAAATTCTTAAAATTCTCAGAAACATCTAAGGTGGCATCTCCTAGACCCATGCAGTTTGGCAGGTCTCTAGGAAATGTAGGACCTTATTCTTTGACACTGTCACGTGAAGACAGGTGTAAGGCAGAGATGGCCTTGTCTTTATGGGATTTGTAGTGGGCGCTTTGTCCAAATGGCCTGAACCCCATTATCAGGAAATGTAAACCAGATCCCCAGAAGGAAAGAGTTGAGAAAGGTTTGGGCTGTTTACTATTGACACACTCATACACAGGTACCCACACACATCCCACAAAAGGCTGGGTGATGGAGACAGTTGGAGTTTTGTTAGGTGTTAAACGTATCCTCTTCCTGGGTAGAGTTCATATGACCTCTTACCCCACTGGGAATTAGGAATTAGAGAAGAAGAAAAACAACTTTGAGCAACAAAATAGAGAAAACTACAAGCTACTTCATTTCTTCACCATGTCGGTCTGTCTGGGTCAGCTGACTGGGACCTGAAGCACATTGAGGAGGAACTTGCCATGGAGACAGTGAATGTCAGCCTTTCATAGGCCAAGATAAGAAGGAGGAGGAGGAGGAAGAGGAGGAGGAGGAAAAGGAGAGGAGGAGGAGAAAGAGGGGGAGAAGAAGAAGAAGAAGAAGAAGAAGAAGAAGAAGAAGAAGAAGAAGATTACTTCCTGGGCTGGAGAGATGGCTCAGCTGTTAAGAACACTGGTTGCTCTTCTGAAGGTCCTGAGTTCAATTCCCAGAAACTACATGGTGGCTCACAACCATTTACAACATGATCTGATGCCCTCTTCTGGCATGCAGGTGTAAATGCAGATAGAGTACCCATGTATGTTTTTAAAAAAGCAAAAAAGAATCCTACTTCCTTAATCCACTGTCCTTATGTGGCATACTTGCCTTTTAGAAACATCTGGAAGGCTTAGTAACAGCTTCTCTCTGGCATATTCTTGCTTATTTCTCTTTGCTACATTCACAATCTCCTCTGTTTTGCTTCGGTGTAGGTTTTCTTCCATTTTCCAACACACCATGCTTAGACAGGCATACTTCGGATAACTGTCCTATTAGAACTGGCATTTATGTTCCATTGGGTGGTTTTCCAATATTTCTTATGCTGACCTTGATACAGATATAGATCTCCAATGCATTTGGGCCTTCAAAGATAACTTGCATTAGAGGAAGTTGTTTCACATATTCTCTCTCTGATCTGTTTTGAAGGGAGAAACACAGCTGTGTATTTTGTGTTCATCTGTGTGACCTGATCATTTTCTGGCACCTTTCAGCCTGTGGAAAAATAATGATCAGGTCACACAGGTAACCTCAAAATACACAGCTATGTTTCTCTCTTCAAAATGGTAATGAAATTTAGATAGAGAATAAGAATAGTACGTTACTGTCATAAAGTCTTCGCTGTCAGAGGGGCTTCAGAGAAGAGCGTCATGGATGGACAGAGATGCAGGAGAAAGGGGGAGACAGTATCAGGGTCCAGGCAGTAGATCTGACAGGAATTCAAGGTCCAAACCAAACACTTGCTGAGTATTCATTTGCCTTTGACTTAAAAGACTTCTCCAGAAAGCTGAATTTTGGCTGGAAGGTGCTGGTGCATGTCTTTAATCCCCGAACTTGGGTGGCAGAGGCCGGAGTTCCAGGACAGCCAAGGCAGAGAAACTCTGTTTAAAAAAAAAAAAAAGGGGAATGAAAAAAATTCTTCCTCTAGTCCTCAAAGTCAAGCAGAATGAACTTCATATAGTTTGTGAGGCTCCCAGTAAGTACTGTGTGAGAGAATGGCTTCGGGAGACATGGCAATGCAGTGAGAACAAGCCTCAGGCTTTCCCCCAACACCCAAGCCCTTCCCTTTCAACACTGACATCTTCTTTGAATGATGAGATGCAATCCTATCTAAGGCACCAGCAAATGCAAGATGTGATTGGACAGAGGTGGACAGAAATGAAAGAGTGACTTCTCTGGGCCTTGAAGGTGGAAAGGGAAACCAGTACTGGCATCCGAGGGGCAGGGAACAACAGCCTGAGTGGAAGCCCCTGGTTCCAGGCTGGGAAACAGTTGTTGGGTAGCAATTTACACAGGGGGACCATTTACTCTGGGGGAACAGGATGATGGAGGTATGCAGGGGTAGGAGGTCTTTATTCAGGAATCCGTTCATTGTCACAAGACTGCACTCAGTGGGGTCTCTTCACTCCAGAGTTTTGCTTATAATCATAGTCAGTGAGGCAAGCTTCGGTTCCTAGAACTGAAAAATGTGATTTGATAAGAGTAAATACACATGGGGGCTGGAGAGATGGCTCAGTGGTTAAGAGTACTTGGCTGTTCTTCCAGAGGTCCTGAGTTCAATTCCCAGCAACCACATGGTGGCTCACAACTATCTACAGTGGAATCTGATGCCCTCTTCTGGTGTGCATGAAGACAGAGCACTCAGATACATAAAATACACAAATAAATCTTTTTTAAAAGAAGAGTAAATACACACTCATGGGCTGGAGAGATGGCTCAGTGGTTAAGAGCAAGGGGCTGGGAAGGGTCAGGTGGCCTTTCCTGGCAACATCAGTCAAAAAAAATACTGTAACCACCCACCCCAATGTAGGTGTGGGATTTTTTAGTCTATTTTATTTGGGTTCTAATATCTACCACTCTTCTCCACACTAATCCCATCCAACACTTGCTGGGTGTTCAGAGTCCAAGTGCAGTCCCCAGACATTTTTCAGGCTGATCCTTTAAGCACAAAACCATATCCTGGGTTGAATACTTCAATTTACAAAAACAGTTAGCCAGAAGTGGAACTACAGGAGCCAAAAAAAGTTTAGTTCATTTAGGGACTTCCACAGAACCATGGACTTTGATGGATTAGGTCTTTGCTTTTGTCTTGGTAGGTGTTGTTGCCTATGTGCTGGGTTCCAGGGCTTCAGTAAACCTTTCATCATGGTGTCAGTTGTGCTAAGGTATGGGGTCTATTACAATGATAATATAAAAGTAACTAAGACATTCAGAGACCCTGTCTCAAAAATGTATATTGATAAAAAAAAGACACCTGATTTTGACCTCTGGCCTCTAAACATGCATATACACACACATGCACATGCACATGGATACGTGCGTGCAAGCACACATGCAGACATCATATGCATCATACACATGTATACATAGTAACAAGCATATACATGTATTTGGGTTTTTTTTGTTTTGGTTTTGGTTTTTTGAGACAGGGTTTCTCTGTGTAGCCCTGGCTGTCCTGGAAGTCACTCTGTAGACCAGCCTGGCCTTGAACTCAGAAATCTGCCTGCCTCTGCCTCCCAAGTGCTGGGATTAAAGGCGTGTGCCACCACTGCCCGGTGCATATACATATTTTAAAAGCTGATGACAATAGGGACTGGAGGGATAGCTTTGTGGTTAAGAGCACTTACTGTTCTTGTAAAGGATCTGGGTTCAGTTCCTCATACCCACATCATATGGCTTATAACTGTCTATCACTATGGTTCTAAAGGATCTTATCCTCTCTTCTGGCCTCCGAAGGCACTAGGTATGCATATAGTGTATAGATACACACGCAGGCAAAACACTCATGCAGAGATAATTTTAAAAAGTCTTAAAAACATTTGTCTGTGTATAAGTGTTTTGTCTGCGTGCATGTCTGTGCACCATGTGGATGCCTAGAGACTGCAGAGGTCAGAGAGGGTGTTGGATCCTGTGGAGTTGTGAGCTATCGTGTAGGTGCTGAGAGTCAAACCTGAGTCCTCTGCAAGAGTAAGTGCTTTTAACCACCAAGCAGTCTTTATAGCTCCCAAATAAATCTTAAAACAAAAAAAATCTGAGCACATAA